TGGACAGGAAGAAGGGTTAAGGGGGAGGGACTAGTCCCACAGTATCATCCTTCAGCGTGCTTTATTGAGCATGTGCAACTTCCAGAAATCACACGGTGTATAATCTTTTAATCTGAAGGTTTCAACAAATGAAGGGTTTACCATTTCTTCCTTTTCTGGGTTCATAAACTCATGGAAAAGGGACTAGTGTGGAGGACTCGCTCATGTACCTTATTTTGCACAAATCAGACATTTTGTGGGGGAGGGGAGGTTGGCATTCCACGAGAGAGAGAGAGAGAGAGATCAAAATGGAAAGGCAACATCTTTGCAAATTTCCATTGTCTGCCAAGGACCACATCTACACAGTCCAGAAATATGCTTAACCAAAATCATTCCAATAGCTGACAAAATATTCTGTGGTTCAAGATAACACCATATAAGTTTACATCCTGAAGTTGGATCTTGTGGAAGTTCATTGTTTAGAAGAGAAGCTTGTGTTAATGTGTTCTGGTAGAAGAAATGAGAGAAGTTTGCTGTTTCCAGTTTTAGCAGAAGGGAACTGCAGTGTGTGTGATCAGTTTAAAAACCCAACCAGACTCAATACTGAGTGGAATAAAAATTTAACAGTAGCCCATAGTAAATATTTTAAATAATAATCTCCAATACATGTTTGCGATGATTTGGGGAGTCTATCTATATACAGCCTGTGAATTTTGGTTGATTTTATGATATTGCTGCATCACTGACTACTTCAAAGAAAATCCCCAAACAGGGGAATAAAAGGAAAGAGGTGACAAAGCGGAGGTTTAAAAAGAATAAGGAGGCTTGGGGCAAGGGAGACGAATAGAGGGGCATGCTTTTGTCCTTTTTGATGGCAAGATCAGCTGAAGTAGGACAATGAGAGAGAGACTCTCTCATTCAGAGGAGAAACAATGTGCAGGATGTGGGATCCTGAATACTCTATAGGACTCTGATCAAATCCCAAACAACCTTCAAAAGTGGGGAGGTAATTGGGGCAGGGAATGACATACAGGTGTTTTTGTCTAGATCTGTATATCGCTTGTGCTAACGTAGAGTGTGTTAGAAACCCTTTACAAAGCCTGTTATGTGCTTCAAATAGCACGTGTCTCTGGCGAGAGAAGCTGTAAACCAGAGTGCCCACAAGGTTCGAGTTCTGCTTAAGCTACTGGAGTGTTTTGGGGGATCACCACAAGTCACCTAGGTGCCATGGGCAACTGGATTGCAAGGTCTGACTTCTGAGGAGGAATAACAGTCAGTGTTTATGCCCAGGCAGTAGTCCAGAGAGGCCAAAGAAAGAGATGGTTTCGGTAGGCTCCAGGATTAAGGGAAGGTTATGAGAACATGGGTCCAGCATCATGGGACCCAAATCATGGGATGCTGGTGAGGGTCCAGTAATGGGAGCTCTACTAGGGCTGTGAAAACATTAATAACTATTATTATTTGCATGCTGTGATTTCTGGAGGCCCCAGTATGCAATTATAATTTGCACTATTTGTGCAAATTCTAGAATGGAACATTTACTATGGATAGAACTGTCACCTGACCTCCCCAGATAAGGTTATACACCTTCAGACGTCTGGATTTTTGTTTTGTTTTTTTTTGTTTTGAGATGGAAAGGAAATCTTGATTGTTTTTCCCAAGTCCACCCTCTTTTACAAAGTAGAGACAATTAGACATTTCCCACTAGCAAAGTCTGGAAGAAAACAACATTGAGAATGACTTTCCCCCCCCTTTTTTTCCTCATTGTTTTTTGTAGATGATTGTGTTCATGCTGCTTGGTTAAATTTGGATACAGGGGATGAAATACTGGCCCCACTGAAGTCAATGGCAAAACCCTCATTGACGTCAGTGGAGCCAGGATTACACTGAAGGTATAGGGAACAGGCTTATAACTCATGAATCTTACATTGATTTTGCAGTGTCACTGATCTAAGATAACTACAATTTTTGGTGTCATTATATGCACGATAGTACTTCAGAGCTCTTCAGTGGCTATTGTCACTTCACTAAGTTAGAAGAATAACTAAGAATGAGTATAAATCATAAGCTAACTAGCTCCCTTCACCAATATGCACCTTCAATTCTCCTCTATAAAGTGGGGAACAAGCACACTGTAGGAATCAGTGATGTAACTTGTTGAATTAACTTCTCAAAAAGTCCTTAGTGAGGCCTCGACAAATAAAATGCAGTTTCAAAACAATCTTTATTCTGTTTGAAGACCTAGTACAATTTTTAAAGCAACTTAAAAACAAGACACAGCTCCATCAAATCTATAGCTTGAACAAAATTTCAAGGAGGCACATTTTTATTATTGCCTTGTAAAGGCAATTTACAACCCATCCTACCTTCCATCTCCTCCAAGACCATTTTTTAAACAAAGTAATTTTAATGTTTTAAAGACATTTAACAGAACAGAGCTTTATTTTTTAAAACAAGAATACAAAAAATAGCAGCATCTTGGGCAGCTAATGCAGTCTCATAGGGACAAGTGCAATGTAACTATCAACTCACACACCAGTCCAGTTTAGCCTTCTATGATAGTAATATTTAATATTTTTTTTGTACAGAATGTTGCATTTTGGAACCTTGTCCCATGGGAGGCATTGTGCGTTGAGCTGCCCATTTCTAAAGTGACCCTGAAGAAAAATAATATCAGGATTCACTTTCCCAACTGAATACCATGCATAGCAAAAGCACTGTGTTATAACCGGCAGAAGGATTTCCCAATCAGAAGGATTTCCCAAGCATTATGGTTCATTGCCAATTACAAGACAAAGCCACTCCTTTTCTACAGAACAGCTGGCATTAAACAGAAGATTTGGCTTTACAGATTTTTTGATAGATAAGTGAACCATCCAGATGAGTTGTTTTTAAAAACAGAACTACACAATCTTCTCACTTTATTTGGAAACAACTTTCACCTAAAAAGTTGTGTGTGTATGTGTGTATTTTTAAACAAAGAAATGAGTGACAGCATGTGCTTGATTGAGCAAAATGACTGTTTGGTGAAAGATGCACCTAGATTATGATCCATTCTCACCCCCCCCTCCCCAAATCCAAGCTTCAGTTTAAAGAAACAATAATTTGCTTTCTCTCACTTTTCTTGTGGTCACATGTACATCTACCTTTCAGCAGCCTTGTAAAAAGTACTGCGGCAACTCAGAGACTTAAGTATTCAAAAACTTTCATCATATTAGATGGAAAAATTACCGCTGAAATGACATTAAAAGCACCATGTTTCTTCTGTTATATCAACATATCTTTGTTTCATGTTCATATGAAGTTTGAGTTTCCAGGTATATTAAAGCTGGTTTAGTTCAACCAAAGTGAGTGGATCATACAATATATGAAGGACATAAACCTCAACAATTAAAAAAGGTGTTTGGCAAAGCTGCAGTACTGTACAACTCACTTTGCAGAGTCCACGCATGGACTAGGCACCACATCAAACCAACTAAAGCCCTATTTTGAGGGTTTAAATGATCCTTAAGTAGTGCATAGACCTTGTGCAGGCTAAATTTCACCTTAAGATGCCTTAATGAAAAAATCTTCTCAGCTTTGTGCTTGTTTGTCCTTGTTTGTGCAAGAGAAGACAGGGGCCTGATTCTCACATATACTAGTTTTTCTCCACCGTAAGCACAGATCCTCAGGTAGTGTAAATCGGCCTAGCACCACTGAAGGCAATGGAGCAACCCAATGTATCCCAGCTGAGAACTAGGCCCACTGACTTCTGTGGACATGAGAGGAAAGTCAGGTCCCAAATGTCTAATCACTACCTCCTTTCCCGAAAAGTGTTTTAAGGGACACATCAATCCAGGCTATATACATTTTGCCTAAAGAAAATAAATGTAATACTTTTCCTCCAACATGTTTAACATTTTTAATTTTTGTTTATCCTTACAAGGATATTTTGACATAGTATGAAGGTTGCTTAACTGCTGTATACTGGATGGATTTGAATTTTGAGCTCTGTTGAATGACATTTAAAGCAGAATAATTGGTGAAGTAAAGGAAAGGCATTACAAAAAACAAATTCAGATTGTCTCACTCTGAGAAGTCTGCCTGGGAAGGAGAGATGAACTGTAGGTTTGTATAACTGGAAAAAAAGTTCAGAATGATTTTGAAATTTTAATTGTCCTGAGACATTAATGATGGTTGAGCTTTGCTCCCTGATACGTGAAAGATTAGCTTCTGGTAAGATAAAATACATTCCACAGAAAAGCAAAGTCAACAGGCTAAAAAAACAAAAACAAAACAAAAACCTCACAACATCAGAAATGAAGAGGTAATGTAGAAATAAACCACAGGTGACAAACTAATTGCCTAACAGTATTTCTAAAAGGTAAAGATTTCTAAATAAGTACTTAATACTTCATTTTAAGAGATGTACCTTTTTGAAAGGAGGGGCAATAATCAGAGAACTCAATGAGATTTATTCCTGCCATTGTGCATGCAACTAACTCTCTTTAATAATAAAGGGTGTTCCACTTGTAGTTCAAAGAAAAACAAATTAATCTCTCACCTGGACTAAAAATCTTCAAGATTCCTCTCAGACATCATTGCTCTACTAATCCATAAAATGCGAAGTAGCAGCATGAATTTATCCAATGTTGTGAGTGGATAACCATGTCAGAAACCCACAGTGAATAACCCTTTACAATTTTGGTAAGTGGGACACTGACATCCTTTGTTTCTTTAACTAATAGGAATCCTGTAACTCTTTGGTACCTGGAATTTTAAATTTGTTGTTTTAGATGACATTACCTTTCAGTAAATAAGTTTGTGAAAATAACAAAAGTTTGTTATGGAAATCGTAATGTTAAAAAAGTAAGGTTTTCCCATTTGAATTTACTTTATCTTGTACTCTATTGTTCAGAACAAACTTGGGGGTCTTTTTCTACTAATACAAAAAACAAACACATTTTAGAGAATCTTCCTTCATATGCAACAAAGAGTCCTGTGGCACCTTATAGACTAACAGACATATCCAATACGTCTGTTAGTCTAAAAGGTGCCACCGGACTCTTAGTTGCTTTTTCCAGATCCAGACTAACATGGCTACCCCTCTGTTCCTTCATATGAAATGAAAAGTATCTTGACATGCTGACAGAGTCTACTATGGTAGATCAAGATGCTGGATTTACTTTTTATGATGGATTTACTATGTGGATTGAGCTTGAAATCCAAACTGACTACTATAGTATCCAGTTTTTCATTTGTTCTTCCATAGTAACACTCAGAAGAGGATGCACATTTTTTTTTCTTCCAAATACAAAGACAATCGGGACAGAAGTTCAAAAGGCTTTAAGAAGCAAATATAGAGTGGTACCATATTCGAAAGGTATCCTTGAAACAATATTGTTAGACTCAGTGATACTTTGTAATGCTCATATATTTTTATTGAATAAAGCAGCTTTGAAGCTTATCAGGCACTGCCCAACAAAATATTTAGTCCAAAAAAAAAAAAAAAAAAAAAAAAAAAAAAAAAAAAAACCTTTTTAACCTTCTATACAAGGAAAACTGTAAAATATTCATAGTTTTAATTCTGAAGCCAACTTTTACTGGCATCCTGTACATTTCTTAAAAAAACACAACAAAACAAAAAATCCCGAACAACAAAATGAATATTAACAAAAAATAATACTCAGGAAATACATTTTTCAGGCAACAAAAAACAGAAAAAAAGCTTATCCTGTAGGTATACTTGAAAAAGAAATATAACCAAAAGAAAATTCAGTATTGCATAGCACTGTCTAAGGATTCAGCTTTCAGCAAACAGAAAAGAGAAAATAGAAGCAGTTTGGTATTGATAGTTTCCACTGATGATAGTTAGTCATCCACTATGTACATTTTTATATACCATATGCCATTGAAAGTCCCATTCTCTTCAGTCTTAAATATGTTCTTAACACGGGATTTTAAACATCTAAACAAAACACTTCCTGGCACTTTGCTACTACATCATTTCCTCTGAACAACATACTGTAACCGAAGTCTTTTTAAAGTGTCCCTTATAAGTGAAAGTGCCTTTCTGCTACATATCATTCATCAGGAAACGAAAATCCACAATGCTCTGTGCCCGGATCCACTGAGTACAGCAACACCAAATCTGAACCTCGCCATGACTGAGAAATTCCATTAACAGAATTACACAGACCTGTTGCCCCTTGGGTCTGCAGAATCCCACATTCTAGCTGGTAAAGCTTCAAAGAGATCGTAAACAAGCACCATGGTTAAAGGCCTCTATGTTCCTGCAGGGAGATAGGTATAGCATTTCCCTCTCTTGTTGTGTTTTTCTTTTCTCAATAAAAAAGCACTTTAGATTAGAAACATACATTCACAGCTTAATACTGTGATCTCTCCCACTGCAGTTGTCAAGAAAGCTCTAGTCCCATCTGAAGACAGACAGCTTTGATACTGCAGCTGAAATTCACAAATCAGGCTGAAAGGAACCTTCTCTCTCCAGAGGCCTCAGTGTTGTTGATTTTTTTGTTTTAAAACAGAGTATCAAGGTCTTCATCGCCTCTGCTGTGCATATACTGGGTAGGCTAGTGTGACATTGAGAGAGTCATTGTGCTGCACGAGTGATGTGTGTTGGTAATGTAGCACCAGTTCTTTAAGAGAGCTGTACAAGTTATATGGCTCTGCAAATCCATACCCACTAGGGGTTTTGTTTATGACACAGTGCTTTACTTCTCCATCCACCCTAAAGGGAAAAAAATAGAAAGGTTTTTAATTGGTCAAGAAAGCAAAGTTTACATTCTAAAAAGCAGGCTAGAGAATAGTGAATTGACAGTGAACATATAAATGCTGGTAAATATACAAAATGACAGTATGCTACATTGGAGTAATTCCATTCATCTTAAATCTAACCAGAATTCTCAGTGAGTCATGCTTTACACACTGTTTTGATAGGCAGAAGGTACAAAGAACTTAGTAGATCCACAGCCAGTAGTTCTATGCTGTCATTCTCCCCCTTCGCTATAAGGTCCATCTGTGAGAACTTCCCAGGGCTGAACTTTGCAGGAGGGAGAGGAGCAGCAATGAGGGTAGATGATCCTATGCCTAACAGCCCAGTCCCAAGCCTGCTGAAGTCAATGGGATCAGGCCCTAACAGGATATCTGCTCATCAGCCAGGTAAACCTACTAGCAACAATTTTTTTTGACCTCATTGTCACCCCTATGCTTTACAAACAATGCAAAAAATCAGGATACATACACAACAGAGCAAGCATAGCAGCCCTGTTTGCTGCTCTCCCGAACAAGGAACGTTCCATCCCGTTTTCCCCGCAGCAGATTTTCAGCTTGGCTTCTGTTGATATTTCCCACATTCCACGTTCGCTCGTCATGATGGGGCAAATCCTCATCATCTTCCACCATAGAGTACTGGCTGTTCAAATATGAAAAGGATAATCATAGAAATGTAACACTCGCAGGACCTCGAGAAGTCATCAAGTCCAGCCTTCAAACGCAGCCTTTACAAGGGCTTGTCCAAGATTTTTTGAACTCAGGATCTCTCACACCCAAAGCAAGGATCATATGCCTACACCAGCAAGCCACATTCAGTAGTGTTACAGTGAAGAAACTAGGTACAGGCAGCAAGACTTGAAAAACCCACTAGCAGGAAGGTGAGTACAGGGGCCCAAGCCATATAATTCTTCTGACTTTAAGTTTTCATGTAAAAATAAAAACATTATTTCTAGCACTACTATGCAGATACCCTTATAAATATGAAAGAAATATAAATGGAGGCAGTGTTATCTTCCTGAGTCTTCAGAGAGTGCTTCAGTGCTTCTGCTGCTGCTCCTAATTTTGGCAAGCAGCAGGCCCAGCAAACTGAACAGCACTCTGGGTCCGTTTCACTGCTGATGGTCAGAACTCTGTGGTCAGCAATGAAATGGTCAGGAATCATGTCAATTTCATGCTGCTGTTTGGGAAAGTTATGTGCAACAGCAGAGACAGGCAACTGAATTATTCATTTTGGGAAAGAGACCCAAAAAAATAAAAGGTGTATGGAAAGGGCAGAATAATAGACTTCCCTCTCCTCTCTGCTGCAAATGGGGGGTTCTAAGAAAGGTACAGAATAGGGGCTCTTCCCTCCCCATGCCTTCAAGCACTGAATAAATACGGCTTCTCATTCATCCCCGATTCCTTGATTCTAGTTAGCCTCAATCTGTGCTACAAACATCAGTGTCCATTGCTGGAATTCAGTTTCTTTGGAAGATTCTGGTTTCTCTCACTAATGAACACCATCTACCTTCCTTATCCTGCCACACCCCATTGTCCTTATTTGTATTTCTACCACTCTAACTCCAGCCATCTCCTAGACAGGGATCCCAGTTGTCTGTTTATGCTCATTTTCAATGTTTATTTTGGCTATATTATAACTTCAGAAAACAATGTGAATGGTGTCAGCATAAATTTGAGCAGAAATCAGATGACTCATTAACAAGGAAAGGAACAAAATAAAAAAAAAGGTATTTTTTCAACGTTTCATTTCATATTTGGATCCTATGTTCCCAAACTGTGGCCTTGTCTGCACTAGCCTTATTTTGGAGAAATCTCCAATTGGTTCTAGCATTAAGAATAAAATCATAGAACCACAGGATTAGAAGGGACTGCAAGGGTCATCTAGTCTAATCCCCCTGCCAAGATGCAGGACTAGTTGCGTCTAAATCATCCAAGACAGATGGCTATCCAGCCTGTCCTTGAAAACCTCCAGTGATGGAGCTTCCACAATTTCCCTAGCCAGCTTGTTCCATTGTCCTACTCTTCTTACAGTTAGGAAGTATTTCCTGAGATTTAATCTAAATCTGCTATGCTGTAGTTTGAGCCCATTGTTTCTTGTCCTCCCCTCTGTGGCAAGAGAGCAAAATTTTTCTCTTTTTTTTTTATGGCAGCCTTTCAAGCATTTGAAGACCTCTAATATGTTCCCCCCCTTAATCTCCTCTTTTCCACACTGAACATACCCAGTTCCTTCAGCCTTTGCTCATATGGCTTGCATTCCATCCCTTTGATCATCTTTGTTGCTTGCCTCTGGATCCTTTCCAGTTTCGCTACACCCCTTCTATACAGCAGTGACCAAAATTGGACACGGTACTCCAACTGAGCCTAACCAGCACTAAGTAGAGTGGTACTATCACCTCCAGTGATTTGTAGCACCTTATTGTCTTTGTTGAATTTCATTTTGCTCTCTATTCCTACATCCAGGTCATTAATAAAGATGTTAAATAACACCCAGAACAGATCCCTGTGGAAACCCACTTGAGATCTCCTTTCAATCTGACACCATTCCATTCATAGTTACTCTTTGTTTGTGGTTGTTTAACCAATTATTTATGTGTACTTTGGTGCAGAATTCTTGTCATAACAATGATGGGAGGGCCAATGGAGACTGGCTGCCTACATTTTTACCACCTTATCTTCTACCTGTGCTCCGAAAGGTTAAACAACATGGTTGTAAAAATGTCTGTGCCCTGTCTATCCAATACTTCCATGATTGCCAATCCTAGTGGAGCTGCACCAGTTCTATAGCAATAGAAGACAACTAAGAAAAGCCAAACCACTATTTTGGACAAAGCTAGAGTGGAACCATAGAAAAACATACCACTGACCATGCTGCTGCTACCTTTGACCAAGAAAGGCAGTGTAGAAGGCAAGAACAGGAAGCAACACAGGGTGATAATGTTAACATGATATGTATTCCACTGATACCCCTTCTCACATTCAGGTTTTATTTTTTTTTAAACTATTGATTCATGAAGGTACTTTTTGCATTCCTCTGTTGGTTAGATTTGGTTTTAAAGGGAAACTAAAATCCATCACTATAGCCACTTCACATAGCCTGGAATACTCAACAGTTACATGATCAGCACTTTTCATCCATGATCTATGTGTGGTGATGATCCAGTGGCCAAAGCAAGTTAAAAACCTGTACCCAACTCATTTGCTTTAATGACAGAACAATACCTGCCTCCACTCAGAAAAGTCATAAACTGGAATATAAAGCCAGAGCAGATCCACGCTCTGGATGAGCTATTCCATTCTGTCCATTTCTGGTGATGGTTGATACTATACCACCACCAATACTTTGCACTTGTAAAGAGTCTGTCATCAGAATTTCTCAGAGTGTTTTATAAATATTAATTCAGCTACATAATACCCCTCTGAGGTATTTATATCATATGATCCCCATTTTACTGACAGCAGCAGCAAGGTTAGAGTTTAAGTTCAAGTCTCTTAAGAGGTCAGTGATGGAGTCAAGAGCCAAACCCAGAATCCTAGATTCCAATTCCTCATTATAGTCACCTGACCATACACGTCTCTTAGGTATTTATAGAAGAGCAAAGGATAAGACTGGTGCCCTTGCTAATATTCTCAGTAAAACAGATTGTCAGGTCCAAACCAGTATCAGATATGCTCAGATACACTGTGCTGGGCCCGAGAGTCTTCCTACAGTCATTGAACTAAACATGCTTAAACTCATTACTGTGTAGAATTATTTGATTTCAGGAATATTCAATTCCTTAAATACTTACTCTTCTGTATTTTCATTGCCCAGCCATTCATTTAACTTCTTTTGCCGAACACCTTTTTGAGTCAACCACCTGGAAAATAATTAAAAACAGGTTTATACGTTTTTTTAATTGGCAAAATTTGGACATTATGGGAAAACAATTCTTCGTAATTTATACATGTACTTACATCAAGTACTGGTCTCTTGTTTTTCTCAGCTGTATAAGGTCTGGTTTAATGCTGTTCATACGTTTGTCAATCTCTCTATATTCAGCTGCTTGCTTCTTTAAATCCTCTTCTAGTCTACGTCTGCTGTCCACAATTTCACTTATTCGAGACTTCAACTTCTCATAGTTGTGCATTATTCTGAAGAGCAGAATTAGGTTTGTTATACTTTGTTAGATCCTGGTACATAATCCAGGTTTCCTATTTTCACTTGTAAACATCTAAGACCAGATTTATTTTTCAAGATTCAGTTGCAAAATTTGCAAGCTGTCACCCACTGCATTTCAGATTTATTCCGTTGACGTTCCTTCTCATGTATGGACGTTGTATTTTTTTACTTTGTCTAAAACACACACATTTTAAACAGATAAGCATTGGCACCAACCTTTGTATTTCTTTTTCATTTCCTTCCCGTTTAAACTTTTCAATATACTCTTTGCTGTATCTTTCTTGTGTCTGGCACTGCTCTTCAAATATTTTTATTGTTTCATTAAATGCTTCAATAGCCGTTCTTTTCATTTGAATTTCCTGAAAATAAAGTAATCATCATTATAGTCCCTATAAAATTGAAAGGATGATTTATTGGCCTATATCTCTGGAAAGGTTTAAGTTATCTTGTAGCAAAATGATTGTACTTTAATATCCCTGAAGCAACATGTGTGTTGTCTGTGGACTCTTCCAATATCTGAAAAGCATGCCTTGTACAACTTATAATCATAGAATATCAAGGTTGGAAGGGACCTCAGGAGGTCATCTAGTCCAACCCCCTGCTCAAAGCAGGACCAATTCCCAACTAAATCATCCCAGCCAGGGCTTTGTCAAGCCTGACCTTAAAAACCTCTAAGGAAGGAGATTCCACCACCTCCCTAGGTAACCCATTCCAGTGGTTCACCACCCTCCTAGTGAAAAAGTTTTTCCTAATATCCAACCTAAACCTCCCCCACTGGAACTTGAGACCATTACTCCTTGTTCTGTCATCTACAGGGATGCTGCTTTCCAAGAAAGGCAATGACCATACATAGAATTATCTACTACATTTGTTTTATATATTAGTTTTATTTTTGCAATGGGAGCCTTTCAACACTGCCCTCACTTTACCCTTTGTACCCCTACAGGTATAGTTGGGACTCTTGAAATACTCAGCTGATCTGAGTGATTACTTGGGGTTTCACCCACACCTCCAGTATGCTTCAAAATTTCCATCTTTTAGGTATGTTTCTTGCAGGTTCCAGAAGGCACAGTATTCACTCTGCAACTATAAAACAGTGCCACTCCCCTGGCATTCCCAGGCTCTGCTAATTACTGGTAAATATGAGAGAGGTGGGTTGCTATTCATTCCTGCACTGTGTCTAGTTGTCACACCCACGCTCCATACATTTTGCACATGATACTTTTCTCTCGAAAGAAATTCTAAGGTATTGTGGTAGTTTTAATTTGTGCCTTCAAGGCATGGGGATCCAGACCCTACAAATGGTCAGTATGCAGAGCTGCTGCCAAACCAGTAGGAGTTCTGCATACTGTGTGTTTGCAAGAGAGGGTACCAACCTATGGTTATATTGTGCAGAGGGTAACGGCTCAGACATGAGTAAACGATTCCAACTTACTGAACTCTCACATCAAGCAACTTTTGTCTTTTAAAAGAAGAAAAGAAAAAAAGTATCTCAAAGTTAACATTAGCGATTTATATCAGTGTCCTCTTAAAACCAAACAAGAAGTCCTGCACTCTACTAGTCCTGCTTCAAAGATAACTCACCTGAGATGTTCTGGTGTAATCTTCATAAAGTCTGTCATATTCTCGACTCTTTTCTTGGAACTGAGTATTATATTCATGTAATTTCTTTCCCACTGCTTCAATACTGTCCTCTTTCACAACTTGATCCTGGGAGGATACACAGAAGGAAATATATCCAGTAAAGAAACAGTTACACAGTACAAATTTTCATAATAAAATTGGTCACGAAAAAAGTGACCATTGAAAAGAAATACAATATAACTTGATATTTCTCTTACAATATGGAGAAGAGATGTACTGAATGCATATAATATGCACATTTGAAATGAAATTAAGCACAAAAGACAATTTTGCACTGCCAGAATTATGCTGAAAATGATATATTTCATCATTAAAATTGTCATATTTAACCTGGTAAGTTTATTTCTTACTGAGCTATCTACAGTATTTAAAGTTTGTATTATTTGATGTACAATATGTAAAGTTGCTTTTTTTAAGTCTTAGATCCAGTTTATTCTTATCTCAAATATTAATTGAAGTGAGTTTCTCCATATCGAATGGCTCTACACGCTAATAACTTTTCTGTACATAAGCAGAATAAAAAGAGAATAAAAAATGTTACCTGCTGGTACTTGGATACTGGATAAAGTAATTTTACATCCAGTTTAGGATTATACTGGGCTAGAGACTCATTCCGGTAGTGGTTTATTAGCTCAACCACAGAGTTGAAAGTTAATGGGTCGGAAAAGCCGTACTTCCCATCTCGGTGAAATATTTTGATTAATTTGTTATTTCCCCCTTTCCTGTAAATAAAGTTTGGAAAACAGTCAGCCATACTTCAGATGCCCTTGCCAAAAGAAAGTAGCATTTTTAAATGCAGCTCTGTAAGAATATATTCCAATATCAGAATGTAGCTGAGTATTTTACCTTAGTGTAAGTGTGTAGTCTCCATGCATTTTGGTAGAAGCATCTCGTACCAAAAAGGTACCATCAGCAGTGTCACGAAGCTTCTCATTTACTTCTTCCCTAAAATGAAAGCAAAAGTAACCAATGACTGCCTCTTACTCATTTCCTCACTGTAATCTGTCATTTCTCCCTCTCTTTCTTAAAACAGAAATACATCTTTGCCTTTTTCCATCAGCCTTCTCTATCTCCTTAAGAACATTACATTCATTTAATAGTTCTACTGGTGAACAAATGGAATATAAAAATGCTGTACCCAATACCCTCCCACTGCTGGAACAGATTTATATTTATGCAAAGTTCTTCCTACTTGTTCATACAAGCCTGCACAATTGAAGCATCCAGTGACACCCTATTGTACCTATATATAGTAAGGTTAAAAATGTTGCTTATCTATAACATTTTTTAGTCTGGTTTATTAACACAACAGTATTGTGCCTCAGAGTTCTGGTCTTGGATGCAAGAAGGGGGGAAAATGATGGTTCTCAGGGTTGTCCTTTCATGCTAGTGTTTCATATAGAGGTCTTAAAATAATAGAACTTACAAAGAATTATATTTTTGGACATACTGCATTCTAACTGACTGTCAGTCACTTTTTAGTCATCTTTGCAACAAAACCATCTATGGTATGTTTGTGTTGGAAAATGTTCTGAAAATGGTTCTTAATACTACAATCATTCTTCTGTAGTTAAGTAGAATACAAAGAGAATATAGCAAATACATACATGCCTTTTTCTGTCTTACCTTGAGATATCTCCCCAATACCATTCAGCATCTTGTAAAGACATGTTGTTATTCATACCGTTGTTAATTACAGTATTAGGTTTTGGTGGTTTAGGAGGCAGTGCTGCAGAGGAGGGGGGAAAAAAAGTTGTTTGTAGCCTAGCTGCAAATTAAATAGTACATGCCTCAAAATTCTAATTTGTGCTATGATTTACAACAATCATTATGTCAAAAAAAAAAAAAAAAGCTAAAATGATTGCAAAACACACTGTTTCTGTTATTGGCAATCTTTGAAAGATACCAAATAAATCAAGATATTTTACTGGCAACAAACGTAATTACATCATAAAGATGTACTATACCAAAAGATGTATGTTAGTTACTGAAGAATAAATTTCAAGCAAAACACAACCCCCAAAAAAGCATTTTTGGGCAAAAATGTTTAAACTGAAGTTTGTTTTCACCTTAATCCACCTCCTACAACAAATGTCTATCTTGAGATCATTACAAATAACAAAACATGTCAAGTTTCATTTTTATTTTTCCTCCCATTTAATTATCCAAGAGGAATTTTGCTCCTTTCTTGTACAAGAGCTGCTGTGGGTAATAAAAACAGCAAAACCACAGCAATACTGTATGTTTTAGGGGGGAGGAATTGAGTTTCTCTGATCCTCAGCATTTTATACAATGATCTGCTAAAAACCACTTTCAGGAACCCATCTGTGACCCAAATATCCCTAGTGTTAATCTTAGTATTTGACAGGATAAATTGTGTTCCAAATGCCAAGTCTGATTAAAAACCACATCCCCTTTTCTCAATGTCAAAGCTGCATACGTACACCACTGGGTGCCAAAAAAGATACTGCAGCATTTCTGTCTTACTAGCTAGGAGGACAACATTGGAATCAGCATTAAAAATGAAACAAGGTTTTGAGTTCTATAGTAAATTTTACATTGTTTAGGTATATGATTGTTTGTATAATATGCTTGACTGCAAAAGACAATGTTTTTATAATAATAAAAAGTGTCAGGATAGTATAACAATTCCAATATCAAATGACTAAATGATACAAAGTGAGGAATTAAGTTATTGTTAGATTTTAAAATGTTTTCCCCAAGACAATCCTGCATACTGATGTGTAATCACTGTATCAGGAAATACAAGTGTATTTATAAGATCTCTTGTCAGTCATAATATAGAGCAGAAATAGCAAAAATAAAAATAAAAATGATGCAACATTTTTAGTATATACTAAACAGAACTAAGACTACATATGAGAAAATACAATCAAAACTGAAACACCTGAATTCAATTCAATTCTTTACTACAGGCTAGGATTCTAATTGCTACTTCTATTCATTAAAACCACATTTTAATTCCAATTTATGAAAAAAATAAAATAATTTGCATCAATGACAAAGTAAGTAAATCCTAAACATCTAATGAGGATTTTGCAGCAGCTATCATAAAGACCAAAATGAACTAGGTTTTTACAATAAGACTGCAGTATTACCTGGTGGATCCATTTCTATGTAAAACATCAAGTCTGTGCCACAATTTATATCTGCCTTGGGATAGTCTATATCCAGTTCTTCCATATTCCAAACAGTGTTGTACATTTGTATGAGTTTCACTGAGTAAAGCTCAGTTATAAGAAAAAAGAATCAGGCTCTCTTTGTAATGGTGTCTTGGAATTCATTTTAAAACCTATAAGGGGCTGCACTGTAACCTATTACATCATAATCCTCAGCCAATCATGTCAAAATAATGTCACCAGACCACTCCTGTTTCATCAATTTGTTCTACACTAATCTTAAAACAATTTCAGTTTCAGAAAGACTCTACATTTAACAGAATTGCAATATATGAATGATGTTATACACAAACAGACTGAGTATGTTCTCCTTATGCTGACTTTTCCATTTTATTTTTCTGACTCTTTGCAGCATGGTACATTCCACTGCTGGCAGGTTGACAAAGGCTGATATGCTGCAGCACGTAGCTTTTTTTTTTTTTTTTTTAAATACATATAGTGGATCTGTGTTTACAGATAGGCAGGTAACGTCTCACTTTCAATAGCCCACTAAGTTACCTAAAGATGACCATTCAAGATCCTTTTTAAGCCTTTTGTACCTACTTTACATATTAAAAAAAAAAGGGGGGGGGGAATCATGCGCTCCAAATATGTAATAAACAGAAATTGCACTTCTAAGCAGTGCCGAGTTTTCAACTTTTAAATGGTCCCAATGCCCTGATACATTTTATATAATATCAAGTGTCTTGTTTCCTTATCATTCTGTAGTGCAATACAATTGTTAAACATTTTCACTTTAATTTTGAAAGCTAGAAATAAAATATTGCAATCTCATACTAAAGATGCTAATGAGTTTTGTTTTTTTTAAAACCAGGGCAGTGAACCAAACTAAGCAAAATCTTGAAAAATGACTCTTCTGAACATACAGAGCCTGTCAGTCAGAATACATGATTTAGTCTGCCTTTTCCCATTGTTTCTCTGCCCCGCTCTCATTATTTACCATGCTAGTTATTTTCTGAAAGCAGGAGCCATTGTCATTTTCTTATTTATACATCTGACTTTGTATCAGCAGGAGCCTCCTGCTATTGAAAAATATTTCTTCTCAACCATACTGAATATGAAAAAAGATTTGACTATTACTCTCTGAGCGTCCTCTAAAGAATACTATTAACGCAGCAGTGGGCTACTATGCATAGCACTTATGAATGCTTTAATATTCACTATCCTCTATCTAGGCAGAAAACTAGATACCAAAAATATAAGTAACTGAAGCAATTCAGTCATCTTAAGAAATTCTTTTGACCGGTGTATAGCTAAAATCTGCACATATTACACAAATACTTGTTATATACTTTAAAATGAACAAAACTATTTGCATCTCCTCAATATTGCACCCACATCCTGACCCTAACTATCCCGTTGTAGTTTTATCCTTTTAGACAAGTACTAGCATGCAAGAAGATGGCTACAGTACCAACATAATCAATACTTGTACATGCTGGTTTGCCTACACATGATCATGCTTAAGCTCCTCATGAAGTAACCTCCCTCTCTTCCCCATTTATGTAGACAAGCACCAAAGATTTGTTCTATTTGCAGAGGGTAACAGGATACGTAAGATGCTCCCAGACACAAGTCCAAACATTGAACTTGAGGGTTTAGCCAGCCCACCTACTCCTCAAGCAGTTGAGTTGCCACAGTACATTACTTAAAGTAGGTTATGAGAGATTTCCTACAAAGAATATATTGCTACATTTAGTCTAATAGGAGGTTAGTATGATTTTTATTTAAACTTCCATCAAAAACTGCTATCAGGAAAAAAAAAAATCTTCCCACTTTTCTTTTACCATTGGCCAAATTTTAGAGAGCCACACTTGTAAAATCAGGTTACTGCTCAGCCCAAACTAGTCTAGCTTGCGGTGACACCATATGGCAAACCAGAACAGGCAGGATACAGACAGACAGGTGATTTTCCACTGTCCCAGCTTAACCTGGCACGTTATGACTGGTGATCAATTATAATAAAGTACTGAAAATATATACACCCATATTTCTATAAGGACTTGGGGGGGGAAATGCATACACATTCAAAACCACTTACTTTGTAAATTATGCATTGCAATGCTCGCCCTTGTAATACTTGTATCCAACAACCTGAAAAGTTCAGATAGCAATTCTTTCACATAGAAAAGTCTTTTCAAAAAATTCCTTTGTTAGGACACTTCTCTGAATGAATTAGGTGAACAGTTCTGAAAAGACGCTCTGTGCTTTCCAATTAACACTCCATAAAATCCACTCGAAAGAGCTGTAACATGAAGTCAGAAAATCCAAGCCCCCTCTTCTATTCTAAACAAATTACACTTCTGTGCTGTGCAACGGGTATCCACACATTTCTGGTTCATCATTAAAAAGTGAACAGGATTTTAGTACTGTAGAAAAAACCTCAGTAGCTTGCCCAGCTCCCTCAGATAAAGATCTCAGTTTCATGATTAACTTGGGCAGGTTCAAATATTTGCTGAGCCAGGGATTTCAGATGGGGGAGGGGGGAGCTAGAGTCAAAGTAAAAGTTGTCATCAGCTAACAAATGGCCAATGCAGGAGTAACTTTCTCATTTCGCCAAGTAAATGAGAAGACCATTGTAAGTGGATTTAAAATAGTCTCTGTAACAGGCTGCTCAATGCAGTATTAAAGTAACCGAGTGTCAAGAAAAGCACTATGAGCAGCCAAATACAGGAAGTGGCTGAGTTAGTTCAGAAAAAAATAGAATCAAAGGCTTCCTTGTAAAGTTCTGTACCTCTCAGAACAGCCCAGTGCAAAAGTAGCTTGTTTGCATGCCCTGCACCACCTCCCACATACTCACAGGACCACAACTACAGGTGTTGATTGAAGACCCTTAGAATGAAGTTCTAAACTGTTTAGTCAGAATAACAGAAAGACAAGGTGGGGGAGGTAATATCTTTTATTGGACCAAATTCTGTTGCTGAGAGAGACAAGCTTTCAAGCTTAAAAAGACCCGAAGAAGAGCTCTGTGTAAGCTCGAAAGCTTGTCTCTCTCACCAACAGAAGTTGGTCCAATAAAAGACATTACCTCAGCCACCTTGCCTCTCTAATATCCTGGGATCAACATGGCTACAACAACACTGCACAGTCAGATTAATATCAATTTAACCACTAGACAGACACATGTCTATGTCCATGGTGGTTTCCAATACTGGATACATGTTCTCTTCATTACTTGGTGAGACAAAGGTGGCTTCATGGGCATGTGGTGCAGGAAGGTGATTGAGACAAATCAATCTTCCAAGTTTTAGTGTCAGGTAAGGTATGCATGCTTGATGAGGGAGGGGAGAGGGAATTAAAGGGTCAGTTTCCCCCTTCACTTACATGGCTTCACTCCTTTATCTTCAGTAGTGAAGACAGTTAAGTAACCACTTCAATTGTTACACCGAAGGAGATCAGGAGTTAGTGAAAGGAGAAACAGGCCTCCAAAGGGCTGGGGCTTAAGACTTCCTGTTTCCTTTACCACACCATAACTAGTATTTCTCCTAATTAGCTGTATTCCTTGGGATCAGTTTGGGCTCCTCTACAT